ACTCTGCTACTGTGCGTCTTTTGTGTTGTATCAATTGTATGTCTGTCTTGCTCTGAGCTCAAACAGACAATCTGAACTGAACTGATAAGACGCTAAACTTGAATCCGATTGGCCGAGAGCCGCCTCGCGCTCGCCACCCCTGGTACAGTGGTACAGTCCATGCTTTTGTTATCCCAATCCATCTCTGGTATATTTCAACGCTGCATAAGACTGGGTTGAAATGTGCAACGTGAGATAAATGACAAATCTGTGAGTTTCTGCACCCATTTCTCATCTACTGTATATTCTATTGTTGTGCTCATGTATTTAAACAGAGAGTTATTCAGAGAGTCACAATGCAAGGAAACGACATATACACACACACACACACTTGATTTCAGAGCGGAGACAGCAGCATCAACGGAAAGTTACATAATTTCACATACGAGAAGCGGTTTGTGGATTCTTCCGTCAAAGGCACGAATGGAAAAGCTAAAGAAATCTTTCCTCCAAGGCCAGTCTCACCAAAATGAAAGATCTCAGGACTATAAGACACAGAGAAAAATCTGAAAAAAACATTATGCGTTTTATAACAGACATCAAAGGACAAAAGCATGGTTTTTATTTTTTTTACATTTTTCATTTTACAAAGTTTTTCCCTCAAAGACAACACTTGTTTTCTTGCTTCAAAATCAGCAACTTCTGAGACAATGCATCCGACCGCCTGACCGCCTCCAGGCCAGCAGAGAGTCAAAGTCCCTGCAATGTGTTCTGGGTCTTCCTTCACCTAAACGGGTTCCTCTCCATGTAGAGAAGCAGCGGGTCTACTCCGAGCTCCCCTGTGTGACCGAGCTCCTCACCCTGTCTCTTCCGGAGCGCCCAGCCCCTCTGAGGTCTGCTTGTATCCACAACCTCGCTCTTTTGGTCCATACCCAAAGCTCATGACCAGAAGTGGGAGTGGGAACATAGACTGAGCATTTAATGAAGAGCTCTGACTGCATACGCTGCTCACCACAACAACAATAATAAAAATAATAGTAATACATCGGTTTTATATAGCACTTTTTTGGACCCCTCAAAGACGCTTCAAATTTCACTCTATACACGTTAGTGAGAAACTACTACTGTTGCCATAGCTGCCCCGGGGGAAACTGACAGAAGCAAGGAAATCAGTATGTGCCATCGCCCCCTCCCACCACCACCACCAACCCCAGACTCATTCTATGCAATGTAGGTGAAGTGTCTTGCCTCAAGAACCCAATGACAGATTGGTACTTTACAGCCTCCCCACTGTGGCACCTGGAGGTCTCCCATCACAGTATAATCACGCCCTGCCGTGCACAGCTTCAGAGGTCTAATGGGGCTTTCAGACCGGATCATGCGTTGCGTCGGGTTTCAATGCAAAGTCTATGGAGGCGCACGTTCGACCGTCACAACGCACGGACCTCTCGGCACAGGAGATGGATTCTGCTCATCCTTTCCTTGGGACATTCGTGTGACAACCAATCAAAGAGCAGCAAAGTGGTCACGGGGACATTAGCGGACTGAGCGAGCAGACTGAAGATACTCATAAACAGCCAAAACAGGACCCACACCAGGCTTCACCAGAACTCAAACCAGGGTTGACAATGGGGGACTCTGTGCTTGTGAAAATATGCGTGACCTTATGCAACTGCTTCGAGTGTGTTTGCCGAGGCGGAAATACCGTTTAATAATATGAAAACACGTATGGCGCACCTCCGTGAACACATACTACTGTTATATAAAGCCCGTGGAAGGTCTGTGAGCAAAGACACGCTGCAAAGCTGCATATTGGAGAGGATCTGTACACCATAAGCCGCTAGCATAGCTCTGTTAGCATTAGAGCCGGCCGGCTACTTCCGGTACTTCCGGCTCGCGTCAGGACGTTCTGGTGTGAAGTCCTCTGCGTCTGAAAACTAGAGAATGCGCATCTGGTGGCGGTCTGAAAGCACTCTCACAGGATCTGGCCTTCCCGCAAGTAAGGAAACAGTCCAAAACAGCTCTGACTCTATCCTTTCCTCACTGAGAACAAGACCTGAGTTTCTTGAACAACTTTTTACTTTTCTTTCTCTACAAACTAATTATGTTATTTATGAAATGTATGTTATTGTGTTATTTTGTGAAACTTGTAAAAAACGCAGTCTCTGTCGGTTGAGTCCAAGGTGAAACTGGAAGTCCCGGCACACGCAGCCTGACGATGAAACACATGCAGACACCGGGACATTGATCCTATAATGAAGTGTAATGGAGGAGACCGCGGCGCTGAGATTGGGGTTAATTACAAAACTGATTCTTGTCTTAGCGACGGCAGAGAAGGAGACAGCAGGACCGAGGCCGGGGTCAAGCAGGGATCAAAACAGGGGAGTTTCCACATCCATAATGAATGAAAGTTTACTCCCAGGTGGAGAGGGCATGGATTTTTCATCATTCTAATTAATTACAATAATGAGTTGGTGCTCTTGGTGCGCTGGGATTTGCTTGTCAGCCGAGGAGAGCTAGCGAAGGTGGGCTGAGGACATTGTTTTTACGCATTTGATGGACATGGGGGCCTGTATGAGTGGGGTTTATGTGTTCTCCCAGTGTCTGCGTAGGTTTCCTCCAGGTGCTCCGGCTTCCCCTACCACTGAAATCATGTAAAATAGCTCTGACATTGGCCCCCTGTTCAGCAATCTCACTCCCATATCACATAAAAATTGCAAAGCGCTTTATGACTCTGGTCTGTGAATAAAGATTACTTACTTACTTACTTACATCTGCCCATTATGGACCAATGTCTTTTTTATCAATGCATTTCCTGTGTCCCCTTTAATTCTCTGATCTGCGTTGGCAAATCAACAGCTTTGCAACATCCTCCGAGATAACTGCTGTTGTGATTAATGGCTATACAAAAATACATTTAATTGAATTGAAATTTAAAGGAGCTATACCCGTTTCTGCAAGGTTTGAATGTTTAGCACCGCCTCTCAACTCGCTCACAGGCTTCTCATTTCCCCTACGCTCTCATCCCACGGAGCCATCTAGTTTTATATGCGATCTATATGCTAACATTAGCATGAGCGCAACTTCTTGTAAGCTGCTAACAAAATATATAACTGCTAACAAAATATATAACTGAAAGATTACGCTAGTTCCGTGTCCGAATATAGTCCGAGCATAGATAGTCCGAGCATAGACAGTTTTCCATTAAATTACGGATTATAATACAACTTGTATGTAGTAATAAGCATTTTTCTGAACACCTAAAAAAAAATTGGGTATAGCATCATCTGTTTTTTTTCTGAAGTTGTAAGTGTTGAAGTAAGAAATCCCTACAAACTTCCTACTATTACCACCTCCCTCCAATAATACCAATGTTAGGAAGGAGGTATTTTTCATTCATTTTGGATGCAAGGCTCACCCGTGCACACAGTTATCATTAGTTGATTTTTGTGTCACCTTTTAACATAAAAAAGTCTCATTTAGAGCTGCAACTAACGATTATTTTGTAATCGATTAATCTATCGATTATTTTTACGATTAATCGAGTAATCGCTTGGCTGTAAATTGTGTAGAAAAAATTTATTTTTTCATCACAAAAAGCTAAAGTGGCAACACTCGAGGACGTATTGATGGCGTAAACTTAAAGTAAATGTTTGTAACAGGCTCTTTGTGCTAATTCTGCTCTGATTGGATGAGACAGACAGATATTCATGAAATTATAAAAACAAAGTCGGTTTTAATCAAAAATACTACATTTTCATGTCATTTTTGCTCTGTTTGAGTCCGTGTGAACCAGAAAACGATTAATCGATTACTAAAATAGTTGTCGACTATTTCAATAATCAATTAGTCGTCGATTAATCGATTAGTTGTTTCAGCCCTAGTCTCATTCATATCCCAATGACTTGTTGTGGCTTTGTGGATTGTTGTGAAAAATCTCCCAGGGCAAAAATGAACCGACTTCCTGCGTCGCCCAGACCTATACCTCAAACGGCCATTGGCAGCAGCTGAATTGCTTTCCGTGAAGGATGCCTCAATTTCCCATGCAAGGCGGGTTTACGGTTTAATCACTCTTAGTTTCATATGATTCACTCACTAAAATTGACTAAACTGTACAATGTGCATGACCCATAGTCTTACGTTCTGCAGAATAACAACACTGGAACGTCATCACCCCTTTCCCACCAAGGTTCCGGTTTTGGTTGGTTAATGAATAATGCATTAGTTTTACGTAATGGCTTTTTTTGGACACTCAAAGACGCTTCACATGTCATAATTCTTTCACTCCATACACTGTGGTGATAATTACTATTGTAGCCACAGCTGCCCTGGGGCACACGGACCACCACCAACCATTCACGCCTCGGACCACCACCAACCATTCACACACACACACACACACACACACACACACACACACACACACACACACACACACACACACACACACACACACACACACACACACACACACACACACACACACACACACACACACACACACACACACACACACACACACACACACACACACACATTCTAATGTGGGTGCTTGTGCTTTGTGGTGATTATTATTTTAGACTTTACTGCTATTATTATTTATAATAATTTAATCCCTGTACGACTGAGAGTTTACACAAAATTATTATTTATGATTTATTTTTTTGGCACAAGGAAAGTTAAGGGGGAAAAAGGCATAAAGATAATACATTGTGTTAGCATGACGCAATGTATTTTCTTCATGAGGTTTGAACTGGGCCGAGCCATGCAGGGCCAGTTTTTTCCATACCAGGGTTCAGCATTTATTGAGTGGAAACTGTACGCTTGCACATGTATTCCAGTGTGGTTTTACTGCAAAAGGCAAATCCAATGAATCTGAATCCAGACACAAAACAGAAAAGGAAAAAAAAAATGCATGGGTCATTTAGTGAATAGCTACAAATGATTCCAATGTAATTTTACTGCAGAAGTCAAACAAACTGAATCTTGAATCTTGAAATGACGTTGGATAGTGTGCACTTATGTGCACGACAAGGCCCGAGGTCTCAGCTGTGTGGAGCCAGCACCGAGGGCCCCACGGAGACTCCCCCGCACACCTGGAGCAGCTGCTGTCTCGGGCCGTACATATGGAGCTCCTCTGTGCGGCTCTGAAGCTGCGGAGATCAGCACCGACACACCGCTCCTCTTACGGGGCAGATGGAGGGGCTGTGGTGAGGTCAGGGGTTTGGCTTTTTTACTACACGACATAAACAAGCGTCTGCGAATCTGCCTCTGCTGTCATTTGCATGGCCTGGACACAAACTGGATTTAATTACAGCCGTAAGTTAACTCAGGTATCAGAATCAGAATCAGAATCATTTTTATTGCCACGTAAGTAACAGGAGGTCACAGACTTGGAAATTGCTTTGGCTCAGTGCAACAGTCAGAAAGAGATAATAAAAATAAGAATAAAAAAAAAACACTTCTAAAGAATAAATTTAAATTTAAAATAGAGTTACAGTATATTTACAATACACAAGTGCACATGGTGCACACAATGTAAGGTGACAGCAGTACAGTGAAGTAAAGTGACGTATGATGGGCAGTAAAGTGACTTTATAAAGGGCGGGGGGACAGGTTAAGAAGTGTTCAAGAGTCCAACAGCAGAGGGGAAGAAACTGTTCTTGTGGCGGGAGGTTCTAGTCCTGATGGACCGCAGTCTCCTGCCTGAGGGGAGTGGTTGGAATAGTCCATGTGCAGGGTGAGAGGGGTCGGCTGTGATACAACCAGCCCGGCCTCGAGCTCGGGCGACGTACAGGTCCTGCAGCGATGTACTGTACTTCCTGCGGCCGATCACTTCCTCTGCAGAGCGCACAATGCGCTGTAGTCTCTGTTTGTCCCTGACTGTGGCTCCAGCGAACCACACGGGGATGGAGGAGGTGAGGATGGACTCGATGATGGCCGTGTAGAACTGCACCAACATCTGTGCAGGCAGCTTGGCTTTCCTGAGCTGCCGCAGGAAGTACATCCTCTGCTGGGCCTTCTTGATGAGGGAGCTGATGGTCGGCTCCCACTTGAGGTCCTGGGTGATGGTGGTGCCCAGGAAACGGAAGGACTTCACAGAGGTGATGGGGGAGTCCATCACTGAGGGTGGGGGCGGGGGGACAGTGCTCTTCCTGAAGTCCGCAATCATTTCTACTGTCTTCTGGGCGTTCAGCTCCAGGTTGTTACCACTGCACCAGGACACCAGCCGGTCCACCTCCCTCCTGTAGGCGGACTCATCGTTGTTGGAGATGAGTCCAATGAGGGTGGTGTCGTCCGCAAACTTGAGCAGCTTCACGGAGTCGTGGCTGGAGGTGCAGTGGTTGGTGTACAGGGAGAAGAGCAGGGGAGAAAGAATACAGCCCTGTGGGGCTCCTGTATTTATAATCCGAGAGTCCGAGACATTCTTCCCCAGACGCACTCGCTGCTTCCTGTCCGTCAGGAAGTCAGTGATCCACCTGCAGGTGGAATCGGGCACGTTGAGCTGGGAGAGCTTGTCCTGGAGCAGGGATGGCAGGATTGTGTTGAAGGCAGAGCTGAAGTCCACGAACAGGACCCTGGCGTAGGTCCCCGGGGAGTCCAGGTGCTGTAGGATGTGGTGGAGGGCCAGGTTAATGGCGTCGTCTACAGATCTGTTGGCTCTGTAGGCGAACTGCAGGGGGTCCAGGAGGGGGGAGGTGAAGGACTTGAGATGGGAGAGAACCAGGCGTTCAAATGACTTCATGACGACAGACTTAAGTGCTACAGGTCTGTAGTCGTTGAGTCCTGTGATCCTGGGCTTCTTCGGGACGGGGACAATGATGGAGGATTTGAAGCAGGCCGGGACATGGCAGGACTGCAGAGAGGTGTTGAAAATGTCAGTGAACACAGGAGTAAGCTTACTGGCGCAGTGTCTCAGAGTGGCCGGAGACACGTGGTCCGGGCCAGGAGCTTTGCGGGGGTGCAGCCTCAAGAAGAGTTGTTTAATCTCTTTAGAGGCTATTGTTAGGCTGGGGGCAGGGCTGATGGGTGGGTCGTTAGAGTAGTGGGGGGTGGGGGAGGGAGAGGTGTCAGGGGCAGCATCAAAGCGACTGAAAAATAAGTTCAGTTCGTCAGCTAGCTTGTGGTCGTCAGCACAGGGGGGGGGCTTTGGGTTTGTAGTTGGTGATCTCCCGTAGGCCCCTCCAGACAGAAGCAGTATCGTTGTTACCAAACTGCTCTTGTAGTCGTTCTCTGTGCCGGGACTTGGCTGCTTTCAGTTCTTTCCTGAACTGATATTTAGCTGCTTTGTAGCCGCTGCGGTCCCCCTCCCTGAAAGCAGACTCCTTTGCTTTCCTGAGCTGCCGGAGTTTAGCAGTGAACCAGGGTTTGTCATTGTTATAGATGACCCTGGTCCTTGTTGGAATGATGCTATCCTCACAGAAGTGGATGTATGACGTCACAGTGTCCGTGTATTCATCCAAACTATCTGTGGCAGCTCTGAAAAGGTCCCAGTCTGTAGATTCCACAGCTTCATCAGACCACACTTTGGAGCTCCTCACTGCAGGTTTCGAGAGCTTTAGTCTCTGTCTGTAAGCAGGAACCAGATGTATCATGGAGTGATCTGAGAAGCCGAGGGCTGGCTTGGGAACAGCGCGATAAGCTCCGCGCACGGTGGTGTAACAGTGATCCAGAGTGTTCTCTCTGGTCGGGCATTTGATAAACTGTATTTGGGTAATTCCTGGCTCAAGTTTCCCTTATTAAAATCCCCCAGGATAACAATCAGAGTTCGGGTATAAACGTTCCATACATAGTACTTGCTCTGCGAGTGCGCGCTGAGCCTCGCGCGCGTCCGTGCATGGCGGTATGTAAACAGAGGCAAGAATGAATTAAACAATTTCACGAGGGGAGTAAAATGGTTTACAATGAATGAAAAGATATTCCAGAGCAGGAGAGCAGTGCTTGGAGATCACTGTCACATCGTTACACCAGTTTGTATTGACGTAGAAACACAGCCCACCGCCTCTGCTCTTCCCTGAAAGCGCACAATGGCGATCCGCGCGGAACAGCCCAAAGCCCTGCAGCTCCAGAGCGCAGTCCGGGATCCGTTCATTTAGCCAGGTCTCAGTGAAGCAGAGGACACAGGATGTGGCGAAGTCCTTGTTTCTTCTCATGAGCAGGCTGAGTTCGTCCATCTTAATGCCCAGTGAGCGTACGTTGGAGAGAAAAATGCCGGGGAGAGCCGTGCACGCTCCTCTTCTCCTAAGACGCACGAGCAGGCCTCCGCGCTTTCCCCTTTTACGGGCCCACACTTTTTTGGCTAGAACATGGACTAAATCAGCCGCAGATGCCAAGAAAACAGGCAATAGGTCCATGGGGACGGTGGGTCGGATGTTCATAAGTTCCTCACGGGTGTAGGAACAGCCAGATGCACAGTTAAAAAGTAAAAACAAAAGAAAAAGAGAGCAGCAAAGAGCCGTGTCGACTGTACAAGGCGCCATCTTTGTTAATGATAGGTGAAGGTGATAGGGGAAAAAGTAAAGCCGAGGTGCAAGCATAGACTGTATACAAATGGTCGGCACTAGATCACATATGGAATTGGGATGTATATATAACCAACTACCTAAACTAATAGATCCATGGCTAAATTTAACCAGCCATTCCCATAAAATAACCCCAACCCACCCTTAACCCTAACCTTAAGCATCTTACTCAGACACATAAAACTTAACCCGTCACCACTTAAGGACTTTAGTCTAAAACTATCTCAAAAGTAGGATTGTTCTTCCGCTTCCGTCCTGATTCCGTATATGATCTAGTGCCGAGCGTATACAAATGGACAATGCTAACCCGCTAGCTTTTCCTCGAATTCGCTCTGGTTCCTATTCACTTACATTGAAAAGTAAACTCCATTGTTTAGCGCTCCTAGAGTTTATATTTTGATGTTGTCTTTGTGAATTCAGATATGAGCCAGATAAGAATTGATTTGATGCCTTCATTTGCAGGGGAAACTCCATCTTGCCTTAGCAACCACCATAGCAGCACGTCTGCTCCTGTTCTGACGCAAAGCTAATGCCGTCGGAACAAATGCCCATATAAGGAAACAAGCTCCAGCTCCAGGTTATGTACAAATTGGCTTCTTCCGCAACCGGCAAACATTATGGTGATGTCACACTCGGACAGTCCACTCCTATGCACGGCCCATGGGTGCGAGGTTCTTATTCTAAACAATAGCCTCGTCCTTGCTTTTTGGTCAAAATTGCGCAAACATTTGAATTGTTTTTGCGCAATTTTGACCAAAAAGCCAGATTTGTCTCTTGGTTTCATTCTGAACACTCTGGGGGCAAAAAGCAATAAAACCAAACTGTTTTCGAGGCCGTTGTTCTTGTGTTTTACTAAACACAAGTCGCATGGGAGACAATACTTTGCTTAATGACGGCGTAACAAGAGTGAAGCTTTTACCGTAAAATTGTGGGCATTTGTACGCGCTGCTCTTTCCTTCTATAAAGCCATGTTTCTAAAAAATATGTTTGAAAATGTGTATATTTCTCTCTCTATTTTAATTTTAATTTATAACTATTTACTTGCAGCACTGAGGTTAAGGTTGCTATGAGCTACTGTACCATGGCAGGTTATACCTCATTTCAAAGCTAATTTTTTCAACAACAAAAAACAACCATATCATTTATTTTATTCTTAACATTTTAAGACAACACATAATTATAAATTGTCAATATCAAAACATAAATCATTGGTAGATTTTTTTACTTCTGACGTCCAAACAAACAGTAACTGAACTAGTTTGGTTCAAAAGTAAATAATCTCCAAACTCAGGTTAAATTAAAGTTATATGTTGTCAAAATGTTTCCTAATTTAAAATATGCAGATACATATATCCACAGATGTAAAGATGAGCTTCAGACACGGAACATAATATAGTATCTCCCCTGAGCCAAAAGTATAAAATACTTTTGGCTCAGGGGAGATACTATATTATGTTCCGTCCCTTAACTGAAATGAGTTTGACACCAGTGCTGTATTCCATTATGATGTGATTCCCAGGGGTCCTGCACTCTAAAATACATTGACTGGAAAAACTGTTTGCTTCTTGTGTGTGCTTTTTATTCACAGCGTGCTTCAGATGCGCTGCGTGTGTTTACTCCAACATCATATACAACCTCATAGAACCGCTAGTAAAACATGACAGCTACCTTTGACTTATTGTACAGCCTCACCGCTGTCAGACTGTACAATGAGTCACTTTAAATGATCACTGTGTGAAAACCTGCAGTACTATTGACACTGTTTCCAATTGACACTTGTCACTTTTGTTGTACATAATTATTGTCACTTTTATTGTACATATATATCCTGCATGTAACATGTTTGCACATTTCCTCCCTTTGCACAATCTGAGTGTCTCTATCCATGCCAAATGTGACATGTACATTTCTCCTATGTGAGATAAATAAAGCTTATCTTATCTTATTTAAAGTCAGAAGAAAACTTTTGTGGCACAGCTTTGATTCAGAAGACCACATTCTCTCTCTGGTCTCTCACTGGTCTCTCACTGGTCTCTCTCTGGTCTCTCTCTCTGGTCTCTCTCTCTGGTCTCTCTCTCTGGTCTCTCTCTCTGGTCTCTCTCTCTGGTCTCTCTCTGGTCTCTCTCTCTGGTCTCTCTCTCTGGTCTCTCTCTCTGGTCTCTCTCTCTTTCTATCTAACTATCTATCTATCTGTGTGTATCTATCTATCTATCTAACTATCTATCTATCTGTGTATCTATCTATCTATCTGTGTATCTATCTATCTATCTATCTATCTATCTATTTAACTATCTAACTGTCTATCTATCTAACTATTTATCTATCTATCAATAAAAGAAGGAACACATCAGTCATCAGTATGACCATTATAGACCCCACACACTCTTTTCCTCGACAGGACCGCAGTGAGAGTGTGTTCCCGAAGCCACGCTCCTCCAGAGCCAGTGTTGTTGTGAACAAACTTCGCTCTCGCAGACTCGCTGACTCAGCAGCTGCGCTAAATTTGGATGAACTCCTCAGTATCTTGGTGCTGGCTGACTCCACACCTTTTCATAATCCCTGGCACCGTGTCCCACATGTTTGGGCTGATTCTGCCCCAGCGGCCCCTGTCCTGAACAGAGAAAACTGCCTGAAATCCCAGGATTACAAGAGTCGTATCAGCACCGGCAAGTTCACAGAGAGAGCAGCTTTAAAGACATGTAAGCAGTCAGGTAGAGGCTAAAACAATGTCAGCCAGGGAGAGGGGATTCAAGCACTAAAGGTTTAGAGGAATATTCAGAATGAGGCGTCTTTATAATGAGCTGACATCTACAGAAGGAACAAAACAAGGGAAAATCTTACAATCCGCCCATAACCAAGTAGTTTCATGCAAAGCCACATCTTTTTAGTGCTTCAAAGAGGTTCATTTTTTCTTGTAGATAAAGCAGCAATACGTATTTTCATGTCAAGTCATCATTAAATGGCCCAAATCTGTCTAAAGGCATTACTAAAACATGCTCTTTTCAAATACTTCTTTAACTGATAACAATAGTTCAGAGATATTTGGATTTCAAAAATAGTTTTACGGCCTGTAAATATTGTTATTGTTTTCATTTCAATTTCCCGCCCCTCCACCGTTTAACCAATCAGAAAGTCTGTGATCCGGGTTGCCAGAACTCACTGTGTCGAGCTAATGTTTCTGGTAAAGTAACATGTGGCCGCAGAACAAAAAAAGGTCTCATTATGATTGATATGAAAAGGTGTTGGTTATAGATTTGTTGTTGACAAAACTCTTTATCCAGATATTATGGTCCAGCTGGAGAGTGGGATAGGTTGCAGTACCACTTTTGGCCAGATTTTTACATACTGCTCCTTTAAAATGTTTTTGTTTTGTGGTTAGATGTATTTCCTTGTTAACATGTGTCTATGTTTTTCTTTGGTCTTACTTCTTCCCACTCCTTTTCAGGTCTCTTTAGAGGTGAAGAGGAAAATGTATATCTATGTATTTATGTCAAACAACTGAAACATATATAAACAAAAAACAAAAAAACACTGCAAACGCTGGATCAAGGAGACCAAACTGAAATCAGAAACCGAGGCAACAACAGCATCAACCGAGACGAGGGGACCTACCTCCTGTCGCACACATGGGACAGCTCCCTCCAGACAGCACCGGGTCTGAGGGGGCGTGGTCAGTCTGAGCGACCTGACATGTCAATCAGGCTGACCACGCCCACTCAGGAAGTAACACCAGCTCATAAATGACAGCCGAAACATATTAACAAGAAAATACATCTACCGTGTCTTTCAAAACAACCACAAAAAAGCACATATTTTTATAAAGAAATACAAATAAAGTGAATAGTGAAAATAAATTCACTCGTCACTTGACCTGTTGTTATCATGACATTATTTGAACAGTATTAATTCTGCTCATAAGGACTGGGCTGAAGCAAGAAGCCACTGAACACCCCCACTGTCCAAACTCAACACAATCATACTTTTCATATCACAATGAAATAGAACAGAGCAAGGACACAAACGCACACAAACAAACAACATATGCACATCCTAGATTAGGCAATAACAATTAAGTCAACAATTTTGACAGAATATGGAATAGATCATAAAATTAGGCGTCTTTTCGTCTGTTATGATAATTCACACGCCACGTTACCTGCTGCTATCATTACGACTGTTTATCTTGTTCTATTCTCCGCTGCGAAAGAACAACAACAACCATCTGTGCTGTTATTTCTCCTTCTATTCTCTTCTAATGCACAAATGACATTGAAAATTCCCCACGGAAGGTCGAAATAAAGGTTTATCTTATCCTCTCTTCAATTCTTTCAGATTTATTGACATATTTTCAAAACAGAGGGATCAGTTTTTCCATATTCATTCTCTAACTCCAGGTAGGATTTTAATATGGCAGAGCTCAACAAACAAAAGACATCGAAACTATTTAACTGTTGGGTTTTGGAAAATAATTACACAAGGACAGGTTGAGTAGTTAATTTGAGATTTGACAGAGTGTTAAGAGACTGGACTAAAAAAAGACTGTTGCTGGAAGTTAAGAGTCCCCAGTTTACATAAAAAATAGGTTTAGAGGCCATTGTGAACAAAAATGAATCTCCTTTTCGAGGACTGTATTTCTTCGCTTCGATAGTTTACGATTTAAATGCCATGTGAGATTTTGATGTTTCTTTTCTTGTTTTATTCATTCATTCATTCGAGCTGCCTTGTTGTGTGAAGGAGAGGTTCTGCAAATTGTTTGTTCATGCTGCTGTCAGACTGTACAACGAACAACTGGGCCACGCGGACACTGTCGACCTGACCTCATATGCCGTGCATCTGTGCAATAATTTAAAATAATGTCCGAATGTGCAATATAGAACCACATGTGTCCCCCTCATCCTGCTAACATGTACAGAGGTATACATATACACACAACTATGTATAAACAGGATTTTACACTTGCCTCTTTATTATGATGGGGGTTGATAATCATGGGGGTGGACATGGAATGAGAATTAGCTAATGCTAACATATAGCATTGGCAGACCTCTCGAAAACACCTTTACAAGATCGTCTAAAAATTGTCTCTTGGCCCAAAGCTCCGTTCCACATGTGTGTCAATGCTGAGGGGGGTGATTTTTTTTGGACCAGTTTAGTTTAGTCGCTGTGATTTTTGGAAGGCACTCGCTAAATGAACAGGGCTCGTGCCGGCTGACGCATGCGCAGATGCGTTTTTTCACATTTTCCAGCCCCCGCGACCATTTTGAAACTGCTCATAGACCGCGGACGTTGTGGCACATTAGTTAGAACGGCGGAGATAGGCGTCACTAGCTAGCGGTCAAAAAGGAAAAATATATAAAAAAATATATACATTATTTGACATTACACATAACTAGTGCTCCTACTTTTAAGAAACTATAAACAATACAAAATGACATTGCTTTCTTCAAAGAGTGAACATTAAAGGGTAAACTACATGAATCCGAGTAGCTGTCGGACTCTGGTCAGACCGTAGCGGTGCGTTCAGGGCGTCTGGGACTCTCGACTTCTGCCTCATTTCTATTCATGAGCCTCGGTCCTGTGTCTGTCCGCCACCCATAAACGACTCGGTAATCATTTTTACTGCTCGACCCCTGGAGCTGTCTGTGTTTGAAGTGAATCCACAAGTCTCTCCACGCTGCAGCAGAGTCAAAGGCCCGACGGTTTGGTCTCTGAGATGCTGCTTTGAGCCCATGATTGCAGCGATAGTATTGAGACTGCAGCTCGTATGTGTTTGAATGGGATCATAACAGCTCAATGGACCCTCACTATCACACGGTTCACCTTTAAGGGCCTCGCTGTTTCACCGATTTTTGTGTGTGCTTTTTATTTTTTACAGCGTGCTTCTTATGTATACTCCAACAACATCATATACAACGTCATATAACCGCAGCTAGAATTACACGACAGCTGTGATGATCGCGGTCTTCCCCTCGCCCTCAGTCCAGATAATAAATGACATACATGGGCGGTAATCTTGGAATTAATAATTGGTTGTATGACTTACAACTTCCAAGCTAATTTACTGTAGAATCAGCTTCCCATCCATGTTAAGGAAGCAGACACAACATTTATGGACATGGTATAAAATAATCGAAAAGCACCAAGTCCTGGATTTACAGCCTCAGTCCTGGATCTAAAGCCTTAGTCCTGGATCTACAGCCTCAGTCCTGGATCTACAGCCTCAGTCCTGGATCTACAGCCTGAGTCCTGGATCTACAGTCTCAGTCCTGGAACTACAACCTCAGTCCTGGATCTACAGCCTCAGTCCTGGATCTACAGCCTCAGTCCTGGATCTACAGCCTCAGTCCTGGATCTACAGCCTCAGTCCTGGATCTACAACCTGTCCGTCCGCGAGACCTGATCCCTTCCTTAATACGGGCATCTCTCACATATTTTCCGAACGTTTTCATTTTTAGCCGAGTCTAATTGAAAACAACAAAGTGCCAAATTATCAGCAAATCAAATCACAAACAATATATTTATCCCAAAATCAAAACAAAGGGTAATAAATTGAATAGATGGTGAGTATGTACTGTAGCAGTGGAGGTGTAAACAGGGCTCTCCGGTGAAAACAACATCTCTCATATCAATAATACATGTGTTGTTTCCTACCTGTGCATTTCTTGGGGCTGCCTGGTCTCTTTCCGTGCATCCCGAGTTTACACACAAAGTTCTCCTCCCAAAATTCGGCGAACCACACATTCCTTCGATTGTTGGACAGCGAGCGACTCTTGAAGTAACGGTCAAAGGCTGCAAGAAACATACAAATGGTTAAAAGCTTTTGTTTTTATAGGTTGGATAAAAGTATACACCATGAGAGAATGTCCCTCTGTAGAAAGCTAACGACTCATCTGTCGTGGGTGGATGTGTGTCTGTCTGTCTGTCTGTGTCTCTCTATCTGTCCGTGCATCTGTCTGTCCGTGTGTGTGTGTGTGTCTATCTGTCTCTCTGTCTGTCTGTGTGTGTGTGTGTGTGAGTGTGTCTGTTTGCGTGTGTGTGTGTGTGTGTGTGTGGACTACCTGTCTCTTTATCTGTCTCTCTGTCTGCCTGTCTGTCTATCTGTCTGTGTGTGTTTGTCTCTCTATCTGTCCGTGTATCTGTCTGTCCGTGTGTGTATCTATCTGTCTGTCTGTCTTACTGTGTGTGTGTGTGTGGACTATCTGTCTCTATCTGTCTGTGTGTGTGTCTGTCCGTGTGTGTGTGTGTCTATCTGTCTGTCTGTGTTACTGTCTGTCTGTTTGTGTGTGTGTGTCTCTCCGTCTGTCTGTCTGTGTGTGTGTCTGTCTATCCGTGTGTGTGTATGTCTGTCTGCGTGTGTGTGTATGTCTGTCTGCGTGTCCGTCTGTCTGTCTGTGTATCTGTCTGTCTGTCTGTGTGTCTGTCTATCTGTCTGTGCGTGTGCGTGTGCGTGTGCGTGTGTGTGTGTGTGTGTGTCCGTCTGTCTGTGGAAGCAGCGGCGTTGTACTGACCGTCCACAGAGGCTCTCTTGGGCAGGATGGTGATAGCGCCCTCTGCCACCCGCTCCTGGTGTAGCACTGGGGAGATCTTGGAGCCCCAGCTGTCTGAGCCCACCCACAGGAAGTGACCCGTCAGGTTGTTCCGCTTTGCCGCGTCCAAGATCCTCCTTCAGTGAGAAAGAGAGTTTAAGATGAGATTATGTATGAAGCTGTTTTGATTCTTCTACAACAGACTACAGTAGGTTAGCAATGTTATTACCGCTAACCAACTCTCATGGGATCCACTCCTTGCCAGCAGAGGGCGCAGTCAGCCCAGTAAACCCACAGACTGTAAATACACTTTTCCCTTCTATGGCAGTTTCAAAATGGTCGCGGGGGCTGGAAAATGTGAAAAAACGTATTTGCGCATGCGTCAGCCGGCATGTGCCCCATTCATTTAACAAAACCTTCAAAAATCCACAGCGGCTAAACTAGCCTGGTCCAAACAAAATACACTCCCCTCAGCATTGACACACATGTGGAACGGAGCTTTGGGTCAAGAGCGACTTTTGGACCGTCCTGTAAAGGTGTTTTCGTGGGGGGAAGAAGATACGTACATTAGCTTTGAACAATTCTTATTCCCGGTCCACCCCCACTGGCCCGGGTTGGTATTGCAGCATGTCAGCGCACATCATTTTGGACGTTTTTGAGCCGGAACCCGCCCCCGCTGCTAGTGACGCCAATTTCCTTCGTTGAAATGTATGTGCCACAGACATGGGTAGATTCAAAATGGCTGCGAGTGGCCCCTCCCACAAGAGAATGTGAAATAACGCCTTTGCACTTTTCACATGTCAAGGTAATAACATCACTAACTTTATATCGTCTGGTATAGAACATCCTAAATTCCTTTATTTCTACTCAGACAACATGAATCTTAGAAAACTATGAGATTATGTATTTCAATCCTGCAATTTTTTTTTTAATGTAAATATAACAGACACATATGTCCAAAAGTATACTGCAAGAGGGATCAGGAAGTCTGGGTGTCTCTCAAACCGCTGATGATATTGAATCACGGAGACATTTACAAACAGAGACCGGTGAAGGAAAGTCTGGTGTCGCACCTGATGTCGTCCTCGTTGGCGAACATGATGACAGCTCTGGCGTTGGGCGTCTCCAGCAAACGTAGCACGATTTTGTCAAACTCTCCGGGCCGCGGCTCTCGAGGGATCTTTAGAGACTGAGCGATGCACACTCCACCTGGACACAAGCAGCGAACATTGTTTACAGTATTTTGATACGCAAGGGATTAGATCAGGCTTAGATCTCAAACAAGCTCATGGGAAAAATCTGGCCCCTTAAAAATGATTTTGAATTATTATTATTATTTTTTTACTGTTTATCAGCATTGGTTGTGAAATGAAAATTCAATATTTAGAATAAAACAGTGAAATATGTGTTTTAACTGGACTGGTTCAATCTAAACAGTAAACACATTTTGATTTTAGGCAAATATCAACCAGAAAATATTAGTAAAACAAATCAAAGTCATGTCAAAATATTTCATACTCAACATACTGCTGCTACTTCAAGGATTTAGATAGTTTTAGAATATAGCGAAACCCCCGGACCCCTGTAGTTCTTATTGAGCCTTTAGGCGTGTCCAAACTGAAGCCGGCTATATCCTTTCATCTCACCCTCTGCGGCTAACACAAACTAGCCCACTGAGATTCTTCAACAATGTCATCCAGCCCACTTCAGCTCCACCAATAAAAAGCTCAGAACATATAGAATTAGTAGTATGTACTGGCATTTGTTTTGGAATGTGTCACAAAAGTCAATAACATTTTAAATCCCAGAACAGCCGGAATCCCGTCAAAACAGTTTCACAATCCATGTTTTCGGCCCCTGGACAAGTCTGGTAAACTAAAGTGGCCCTCTCATTAAAAACTTTTCGACCGCTCTGCCACATCAAAAATACATACATTGCATTTTTATAGACGCCGCAGGGTTTTACACAAGGACTCGCAGAAATCCCTGAGCAGTCATTTTGACGGCTCCCATTCACATCACGGAATTCCACAGTTTTAGGTTTTCTCTTGAAAATAAGTAATTCGGTTCTTATCTTTAATACATGCCAAAACTGGTTAATATAAATGAAATAGAGCAAAACTTAATGCTAACGGATGCAAGTAAACAGTGTGTTGCTATGGTAACTAGCTGTTGCTCCCTGAATATTTACAGTCTAGGATCATAAATATAAACTACATATAGATACATAAAATATCACAAAGTTATGAAGAGCAAAAACATACATAAGCGAGAGGAAATACACTTCCAAGACAAAAATCTGTTAAATTGACTGCTCTCATGGGAGTTTTAATAGTTACCTAATGTAACTTAAGTTCTACGAATAGGTGCGTAGTCCCTTAGGACTTCGCTAGTGGGATATCACTCGTGACCCCCAGGTCACACGCCAGAGAGATCAAAATAATTTGCTCCAATCACCAGCCACCATCCTCTATAAATGCCCTTGCACAAGGCCGCACCCCCTCTTGAACTCTGCCAAGCCGGGCTGGCCTGATGGGCTCGTAGCTAAGGGACTACGCACCTATTCGTAGAACTTAAGTTACATTAGGTAACTATTAATTCTACGTCATGGTGCTACGTCCCTTAGGACTTCGCTAGTGGGACACAACGCGGAGGCCGTAGGAACATGTACTCCCAGCAGGCCAGCGAAGGGTGATTGGAGCTCCGCCCGAGCAAGACCCTCACACCGTGAGAGGACTCAGGGCAGAAGAAACAAGCGTGTTACAGGGCCACTCCTACCAAGGACGCCCCCACGTAACACAGACCGTATGTCATCCGTAGTCACAGGACGCCTCTCCCAAGAGCTCCTGATGTAGACTACCAGACCGATCAACACACATATATATACCGCACCTGTAGGATGCCTCTCCCAAGAGCTCCTGAACCAGGGCGGAAATAAACCGAAGGCCCCCTCAGAAGAGGGACCTAACGGCCCAACTCAGTCCGCTGCACTCAGCACGGAATGGGCCACCGACCGGTTCGACACATCCAAAAGATAAGACCGGACGAAAGAGGAGGACGACGCCCAAGAAGCCGCACGGCAGACGTCCTCGACCGACGCCCCCCTGAGAAGGGCCGTAGAGGCCGCCATCCCACGCGTGGAATGCGACCTGAAGCCCACCGGGGGGGCCAGACCCTGCGACTGATACGCCCGCCGCACAGCCGTGGCGACCCAGTGCGCCAGCCGCTGAGCCGACAGCGGGGCGCCCCTGTTCTTGGGGCCCAGACACACAAACAGCTGACCACCCAACCTGAATGACGAGGTCATGGCCAGGTAATGCCTCAGCATTCTGACAGGACACAGAAGGTGCCGCCGCTCCTCCTCGGGGGGAGGCATGCGGTGGCGGATAGAAAGCCCTAATCCTGATGACTCTCGACCTAAAGGCCGACGTGATGACCTTGGGGAGAAATTGGGCCACAATTCCACCATGCCGTCGCCCTCTCCAAAAGACAGGCAAGACGCATGGACAGAGAGCGCACACAAATCGCCCGCCCTCTTAGCAGACGCCAACGCCAGCAAGAGGGCCGTCTTTAAAGCGACACACTCGGGACTCGCCTCCGCCGCCGGTTCAAAAGGCGGACCCGACAGCCCCCTAAGGACCACCCTGAGGTCCCAAACCGGGGGCGTTCTCTGGAGCGGGGGCCTCCTCCTGCGCGCCCCCCGCAGAAAACGTTTAACCAACGGATGAGAGCGGGCTGTGAACCCCCCGAATCCGTCGTGACCCGAAGTAATGGCTGCCGCGAACACCGCCGAGGTGGCGACAGCCCTCCCTTTGTCAAAGAGCTCCTGTAGGAATCCCAGGACCCCCTCCAGCGGGCAACGCCTGGGATCCCAGGAACGGGAACCGCACCAGACACTGAAGAGCCTCCACCTGGTGGCGTAGGCCCTAACAGTGGACGCGCCCTCGCCCCCTGAATGGTCTCCACCACCGCAGGGGGAAGACCCAGGTCTACGAGGCTCCGCCTCTCAGCCTCCAAACCCGGAGCCTGCGGCCGATTATTGGGCGTGAAAACAGGGCTCCTCCCCCCTGGACTAGAGCCCCCGGCTTGTCCGGGAGGGCCCAGGGCTCCATCACCGCCATGCCCCTCAGGAAGGGGAACCACCGGGCATGCGGACTGTCCGGAGCCACCAGGATCACCGACCTCCTCTCCTGTTCGATCCTCCGCAGCAGGACCGGCAGGAGACGCACCGGTGGGAAAGCGTACAGCAGGCCGCCTGGCCAGGGGTAATGAGCCAGAGCGTCCACGCCTAAGGGCGGCTCGTCCGCGGCCCTTAAGGCGAACTAGGACGGGCACTGTGCATTCTCTGCACTGGTGAAAAGGTCGACCACTGGACGGCCGAACCTCCGCCAGATCTCCGCAGCTACCCGCGGGGCCAGGCCCCACTAGTCCTGGAGCGGGCCACCCCTGGACATCCTGTCGGCCCCCACGTTCCGGATCCCCGGGACGTGGCGCGCCCTGAGAGACAGGAGGTGAAGCGCCGCCCACAGCAGCGTCACTGTCGCCATGCGATGGAGAGCGGGGGACCTGGTGCCCCCCTGCCTGTTCAGATAGGAGACCACTGTGGTGTTGTCTGAGCGAACCATCACGTGTCTCCCCTGCAACTGAGGAGCAAAGTGCAGCAGTACTCTGTGCACTGCCTCCATCTCCAGCAGGTTGATGTGACGGGTTGAGTCCGACCAGCAGCCTCCTACAGAGCTCTGGCCGAGGACCCCGCCCCATCCTTCGAGCGACGCGTCCGTGAACACCTCGACGTGAGACACGGCGCAGGCCAGAGTCACTCCGTCCCGCAATAGACCCGGAGTGAGCCAGAACCTGATGTCCGATGCTGCCACTTGGGGAACCCAGATCAGCCTCCCCCCGTCCCGGGAGGGGTGAAGCCTGAGGCGCGAGAACCACCTCTGAAAATTCCTCATGTGGAGCAGGCCTAGCCGCACCACAGCATGAGCCGCCGCCATCATTCCCAGCAGGGACCTGAGGCGCCGAGCGGGGACTCTGGGGCCCGCCAGAACCTCCCGGGCCAGACGGGTAATATTCATCCGTCTGTCCACGGACAATGCAGCACGGAATGTCACAGAGTCTAGCTGCAGCCCGAGATAAATCATGCGTTGGGCTGGCTGCAGCTTGCTCTTCTCCCTGTTCACCACAAAGCCCAGACGCTGTATGTGGGACAGGACCCAGTGCGTGTGGCTCACGGCCACTTCCCTGGATGAGGCCAGAATTAACCAGTCGTCTATGTAGGTTAAAATTCCTACCCCTGCGCGTCTGAGCGGCTCCAGTGCTGCTTCCACACATTTGGAAAAAGTCCGAGGCGCGAGTGCGTAGCCGAAGGGAAGACGGCAGTACTCGTAATTCCTCTCTCCCACTGCGAAGCGCAGAAACCTCCTGTGTTCTGGCACTATGGGCACGTGGAAGTACGCATCTGTCAGGTCTATGGATGTCATCCAGTCTCCCTCCCTGACACACTCGAGGAGCTGCCTTGTGGACAGCATCCGAAACTGCCGTTTGGAAATGCACTCGTTTAACACGCGCAGATCCAGAATGGGACGCACCCCGCCTGACTTCTTTGGCACTAAGAAGTAAGGGGAGTACAGCCCCCTGGTGGCGTCCTGCGGGTCTACCTCCACTGCTGCGCCTCGACTCAGCAGAGAGGAGACCTCCGCTTGCAGTGCCTCTATCAATCCCCGTACCTGAGAGCGTACTGCCCGTACGCCTCGGAATGGTGGTGGCTTTCGGAAAAATTGCAGAGCGTAACCCCTGCGTAAAGTTTTCTCCAGCCAAATATCTGTCAGTAAGCCCTGCTCCCTCCAGATGCTGTAGAAGTCTGTGAGGGGCGGAACGGGAGCTGGAACACGAGACGTCACGGCCCCGCCCTCTCCTGGTGTTCCTAGCAGGGAGGGGGGGTGGCTGAAAGGGCCGGGGGGGCCCCTGCGTCACACCGTGAGCGCCGGGGGCGGTCACGTGTTCTGCAGGCCCGACGTCATAAGTACGGGACTGCTCACCACACGTGACTCGGCTGCTGTGCCCCCCCCTGGCTCTTGCCTCATGGAGGGGGGGGCGAGCCCCTGGAGTGGGAAACCCCGTGTTAGCCTTGTAGCTCAGAGATGCTAACACGCGTTCGGCCGAAGCACACACATCATTACTCACCAGATCCCTCCGCCTGCCCTCTCTCTGGGAGGGCAAAACATGAACCCGTGAATCGGAGCTCGTGGCTCGCGTAGCGCGCTGCACGCCCTTCTCTGTGGGCTGCAGGCCTAGCGAAGCCACGTTATGTGCTCGAGAAGTAACACATTCAGAATTCAGATCATTTGACATGTTACATACCCCCAAATGAGACTCAGACAGCGAGTACTGATGAAATGCCGGACGGCTTTTATTGAAAGAATTCTTCCCACCCCGACCTCCTCTGCCATAGGGAGGTCGTCGGTGGGTGCGTTGGTCCCGCGAGCCTCCCGTGTGCCTGTCTGGGCCCGGGGGTCTCGTCGG